TCTTTACTGAAAGAGTGGTTAAACATTGGACCAGGCTGCCCAGGGAAGTGGTTGAGTCCCCATCCCTGGAGGTATTTAAAAGACGAGTAGATGAGGCACTTAGGGACATGGTTTAGTGGGCATGGTGGTGTTGGGTCGACGATTGGACTCGATGATCTTAGAGGTCTTTTCAAACCTCAATGATTCTATGATTCTATGATTCTTAGCCCATGCAGCAAATGATCAGAAAGAGTCCCATCACTTTTTGTTCGGTTTAATGGTGAAAAAAAGCCGCACCTTCCAGAACATGGTATTTTGAGGGGTTTAAAATTCATTCTCCAAAACCGAATTCAAGCAGCAGGTAACATGATATCAGCCTTTCAATTGCTGTAGGCAAAAAGTTCAAGATTAGTGATTTCCAAAGAGCCGTTATGTGATAAAAATTTTTACTGGCCATAAAGTGAGATTGACTACACAGTGAGAGTGGAATTTTAACAATAATAAACTGAGCGCGTTGTCATGGGAAGAAAGTATTGCAAGTGGACAAGAACCAAAAGGGCTTGAATTAATGAACATAGAGGCCTTTGCTTTTTGCAATTACTCCTTCCTCTTCTCCTGGATAAATCCCCATTCTCTTCTACTTGTCAGAGTAAAATTATGGAGCAGTAAAGACAGCTGCAAGAAAAGGTTCCGTTTGCATTATCTTTCTTCCATTTTGAACTTTTTTTTTCCTATATTTTTTTTTTAGAAATCCCACATTCCACCACTTCTGTCTAATCACTTGGTTTTATAGCTTGTTTCCATGATCTTTTCTCCTTTACTGCGCATTAACTCAAGGCTGCTTTCCCTCACTTTCTCCTGTGGTTTTTTTTCCTTTCTCTGATAGCTCCTGACTTCATTCACATTAATTTAATCAAGAATGTATACCTGGTGAAAGCAAAATTTATCTCAAGAAAGTTACGTCTTAATGAGCCTTTTTACATGGTGTGATGTCCTGAAAAAGTTGCACAAAGAAACTAGAGCCATGTGCCTTTCAAACCATGTTTGTTACTGTGATTGTTCTCTCTCTGAAATATTCCTTCATCCCCTAAGAACTAAATTTGGAAAAATGAAAAATTCTGGAGACAATCCTAAAATATGTGAAAATTTTGTTCCTTTTACAGTTTAAGAAAAGCCCAGTTTAGTACAAATAATGAAAAGAGAAAGCTATTTGCCTTTGGCATTTTTTTGAATTTCAGTTTTTGCTGTTCTGACAGTTCACTGTCAGTTTTGCCTGGAGTTTGTCTGCATCAAGAAGAAAGAAAAATCATACAATATATTCGAAAATAAGATGGGAAACCTGCAAAAATGAGTATCACAAACACAGCGAAGATAAAGTAGTTTATTAGACATTTCTTTAAGAATATTGAATTTTCTACATTTTGGCTATTGCTTAGTGAGTGAAAGATTTTATGATGTAATGCAATGTGATGCAATTGTGTGCTGTCAGCTCAGCTTAGTTTCAAATGGTGTTTATCCAAAAAGCAGCCAAGCTATATACCTGTTGCCCAGCGCGGAGGGTTAACTGGAGAGTTGATCTGGGCCTGTATAAATGCTAAAAATTTTAAGTATGTCTGTCAAGACAACTCACATGCAACTAGATTTGGGAGGCTTGTGTCAAAACAACTCTTTGCCCCGTCTTGATCTAAGCAGTTTCTGTACACTACTCATGTTGCAAGGACAGCAGGAGTTTCCCATACCAGCGTATGCTGAAAATTACACCCTCCTCCCCAGATGTATTCTGTTCTGGTTGCTTCATTATTAGATCTTCAGCGTGGAAGATATATGGATGCACATTACATTTATTTAACTATAATGTAAGCAAAGAGTAGGATGTACACACTGATGAAGCATGCCTTTGTTTCTGGAAGTCCTGAACTACCTTCTGCAGTTACAGACGTGGGACCAAGCATAGGCTGCTGCTTGTTTAACTGAGTGGCTACAGAAATTGTCTACCTGAAACCATACTCATGGTTTGGATGTATTTTACATAACCCACGGTTATAAACAAACAACAAAAAGTATGTTTGAAATGTGACCTTTTAGTTACTACCTGTGAAGCATCCCCCTAAAATGCTGAAGATTTAAAGTAAAAAAATTAAAGTAAAAAGAAAAAGTAAATATGAGAGTGGTGCTGAAGTTGCTAAGTTGTGCAATCATGACACCATTTCCCTGTAATTCACCCTAATAACTTTCCCTGAAATGCTAGTATTAACTAATACTTCTCTGTGGTATTATGTAGTTCACAGAATTGTCTCTGTGGTTTTGATTCCACAGCTAAATAAACATCCATCTCATTGTCTGGAAACTAAGCTATTACACGGTTAGAAATTTCACATCCATACAATACAAACTGATCTTAGAAAACAAACAAAAATTCACTGTGGAAGGGAGAATTTAATTCTTATTGAACTTTGCTACTGTGAACAATGTTTTAAATATATGAATAGGCACACTGTGAGAACAAACAGCTAAACAAAATATCTGAAGTTAGTAATTATCGGTTTTAGGCCTCACTAACTAAATTACTACTTACTGAGGATATAACAGTAATTATCATTTTTGGGGTCCAATCTTGAATGGCAATCAATGTTCTGATTGTTTGTAGTACAGAGCCATCCACATGTTATTAGTGGGAAATAGAAACAAAAATCTCAAATTTAGTCTCTCAGATGGAAGAGGAAATCACTCACTAGAGGGTTTTGTGGTAAATTAAAAGCCACTCACTTTGGTATTTTTGTTTCTTTTGTGCTATTATACTCGTAGCTCACTGTACACAGGTGAGATTCATGGTGAAAAAATAAATGGTATTCAGGCGTAAAGAGTGATAACATTTGGAAATGATTCTTTTAGCTTCAGAAAAAAAACAAAATAAAGCAAAGGAGGCTGTGATATATTCCAAAAGGATGATATTTAGTATGGTAAACACAAAATAATCCTCTTAGAAAGTATTGTAACAAGCAACTCTGTGCCAAGAGCATGTAACTTTTCAGGCAGAAGAATAGCAAATGCAAAAGATTATGGAAGTAAGAAACTGCTTTTTTATCTAATGAATCTGCAGAACTCATTGTAAGGGGAGATAATTTAAATGTAACTTAATATCTTAATATGGATCAGAAAAGGATTAAGTGTTATGCTAACCACAGTAGCATCTGTAGGTATGTAACAACCTTGTTCAAAGAATTAAGAGCTGTCAAATCTCATTCTTCAGAGGAAAAGAGTGATTGCAGTCTGGGATAAGGGGAGAAAACACAGTAGTACACAATAATACTTTGGGTATTTGTCCTATATTCCTACAAAGTATCCACAATGGTTGTAGATTCAGCTGTAGTCCAGATTCCTGAATTAGAGAGGAATATTATTCTTTCATTATATGCCTGTACTCTGAAATACCTTCTGTAAAAGTAGCAACAAAGCTGAAATAATCTTCAAGGTCAAATATAGCTGAGCCAAAGTCTATTCTTTTTTTCTAGCAGAGAAGTCCAGTTTGTATATGGGATTGTGTTTGTGAAATTGGATGTTGAATTTTTCTTTCTGTTTTAAATTGCCTGATTGTATACACATGTTCTACTTTAAGTTAGTTCAAGTATTTCTCAAATGCACAGGAAGTAGATTTTAAAGGTCTTTAAAATACTTTACTTTTACTATAAGTTTATAAAGTTTGTCCATACAGAACACATAACCGTATAAACATCCCTGTTTCTCTGTAAAGAGATAAGTATTTTTATATCCTCCGTCATCTGAAGCAGCTACTGTTGCTCCCTTACCTGAATACCTGCAAAACCAGAAACCTCAGCGTATGAGGATGATGTAACTAGAGGTAGTGGACTGGTGATACTTGACGTATTTGATATTATGATATTGTAGCATGAGAGCACCAAATATTATGGTATATTGAACCGTAGGTGCAGGGTCAGTGGGATATCAGGAGGCTAAGGGTCCGCCGGAGGAGCAAAGCAGTTGTGTGACTGCGTGGGAAGGGAAATCTGATGATGCAGCAGCCTGGGGCAGGGCAGGGCTCCGCAGGATGATGGAGGTCTCACCATGAGACTCATTTCTGTAGTTTTAGCACCTAATAAATTTAGTAGCTGTTGAAATTACTAACTTGGGAATCCTGATATTGACAAGTTGGCAGTCGGTAAGATGGACCAAGATACAACCTTTTGCTTACTCAGGCTGAATAGCAGTGAAGCAGGAATGAGTTGTAGCACCACCTTCACCTTTTGAGTTGCTTTACTTCATGTTGCTGTGTTGAGTTGATATTTTTATTGAGTTGATGTTTTTATAGTGTTTATTGTGCTCACGTATTTGAGTGGGAGAGAGTACTAAGCATTGCGTGAAGACAGTTTCTCTGAGTCTGCTTTTGTTACTAAACTAATGTTAGAGTCTGGTAAACTGGTGATGTGAGTAAGATAATGCAGGTAAACCCACAGAGCTTCAGTGGGTTCCATTTTCAGCTATAGTTGTCCTTCAAAGGACTTTTGCTTTTTATCTTTATCTCATTGATCTTACAGTTTATTAAAAGGACCCTGGCTCATTGTCCTGCCACCAGGAAGCTGTATTTTATTATAACTGCCGATACTCATGCCTTTGCCTTTTAGGTAGCGATGTTTATGCTGCAGTTGGGCAGTGCCACTTTCTTGTTAACAGAACCAGTGATAAGTGCGATGACAACAGGAGCAGCTACACACGTTGTGACTTCACAAGTGAAATATCTGCTGGGAATGAAAATGCCGTATATATCGGGACCACTGGGATTTTTTCATGTGAGTTCAGTAAAAGAGATGGGTTATTCCATTAGCTAACATTTTCTTAAATAACTGCACTATTTGGCTATATATAAGTGTAAGAAATTTGTTATGCATGCATGTGAATGAACAGAAGATGTAATACAAAAACCTTCACCTTGCTAGGTCTGTTTGTAAGACCAGATCAGGAAAACTTGACGAAGAATTAGCCGGAATGGGTCTTATTTTGAAAGGATACTGTAATCAATTTAAAATATGTGTATTACAGCATCAATAATTCCATTTATTATCCTAAGCAATTACACACTTGTACAGGGAAGGTTAACTCTTTCTGGATCAGCATGTGGGAGGGATATATCCAAATATCATTCTAAATGTATTTTCTTCATATTTTGCTGAATGAAACCTGACCATCATTGTGACAAAAGGAAAATGACCCACGATTTGTGGATCTCCTATGCAAAAATTACCCTAGATATGTTACTTATTGCTTTATGCTTTGCCATAAACACAGCAAGTGTACAGCTTTAAGGTAATTTTTATAAAATGTATACAGCCTTTCATATAGTATCATGGTTACTCCCTTTGGAAAGTAGATATTGTTGGCTGAAACCTTAAAGGGCAAAGTTGTATAATCTTATTGCATAAAAGATATGAGAACATATTCTTTACAGTAACTTATTCCAGCAAACCCTGAGTTTAGGTGCTGTGAGCATAATCTCTTGGCAGCAGCATTAGTAGTATTACAATGGTATCTGTCAGAATGATGTTTTGCTCATAATAAAACTTTATTTACTTGCTGAAGTGATATTTACATTGCACCGATAGCAAGAAATTAATTGATTACCAGATGAAGTGAGCCTTCATCTAGTTAGCCACTATATTAAGACACCTTATTTAAAAGCACTGACTATATTTTCTTGCACTGCACTGCTCTTTATTTTTTCCTATTATTTTGGGAAATTTGTTAATGCGAACTCTGTGTAAGGAGATGTTGCTTTTTAGAATGTTATTTCACAGTATTATAAATTTGATAACATTTCATATGGATAATCCATTGGTAAGTTTTTTACAGGACCAATTTATTAATGAGAATTAGGGGCATATAATAAACACAAGTAATTTATCTTGTTGGGACATAACTAAAAGTGTCATAGCAATTTTTTTGAGTAGTCAGTTGGCCTGTGAGATTATTACAAATGATTCATCATATATTAAAATATTTTTTAAGTCTTTAAAAACCTTTTCATAAATACTTCTTAATATAAAATGTGACTAGCCTCTTTTTCATGGCGTTTCCATGGAGACTATACTTACATATAGGAATATTGTCATCTTGTAGAGATGACTGGTGTTAAGTACCACAGCCAAGACATAATCAAAATATACATTATGAGCAATAATAAAGAACAGCAGTGATACAAAGAAATATTTCCACATTGGTGGGCTGATTATATCATAAATGATGTCATTAAAATACTTTGAAAGAAATCTGTTCCCTTATCCCTCATATTTTTTAATCTATCTGAAACAAGTTCTTTGCCCTTCACTTCACTTTTGAAATCAAAGCCCTTTGCACATTTTCCAAAGAAAAATTTTCCTGATTTTTTTAAGGTTTTGAATTGCTCTGTAGAATTGTGTGAAAACAAATGAACAGACAAAAAACCCTCTGTACAACTTAAAAGAATAATAAAAAAGTCTCCACATTTAGAAGGGACAATTTTACCGTACAAGTATTTTAAAAGGTTTCTGGTATCTGTTCAGACTTATGGGTTGCTTTAAGAAGGTCCAGTATCTCAGTCAGAAGCACCAGATTTAGATTTTAACAATCATTTTTTTCTGTGATGGTAGTTTTATATGAAAATTATACTAATTAGATATATGTTAGTATGCACATGTTACTAGAAAGTGAAAGGCAAATTTGGCATGTCTATCCGGACATGTGCTTTACTCCAAATCGTTGAAACCCAAAGACTGGTATTTTTGCTTACATTTTTTTTTTTCTCCACTCCAGAACACCTCCCACTCACAAAGCTGATTGCTTCGCCTCAGGCAGCCTTTGGGTTGGCAAAGCAAGAATAAGAATGTTTAATAAAGTGTGATAGGAGAGTTGAAAGTAAAGCAAGCTAGTGAAATGGATTCTTTATAGCAAGTGAGATCATGATTAAATATGTAAAAATGAGCTTTTTATATGGAGAACAAATCTACTACACTGGCATTGAGCCTATGGGATTTTTGTGTTTACACATAGTTTATGTAATTTATTAAATTTCATTTTCCTTTTACGTGGTTTGTAATACTGCAATAGAGCTGCACATTGCAGCATCAATTGGTATTTTACAAATGGGAAAGGCAAGGTGAAGGTGAAGAAGAAAAATGGTGAGGGAAGACTACGTGTGAGATCTAATTTTTACAAGGGCCAAGAAAAGTGTCATCAAGTTTTACGTAATATCTGACAGCAGAAAAACATATCTATATTTGCCCTTTATCCATGTGTAGATATATTTATCCTTCCACAAGTTTCTGAGAAAATGCAGCACTGCAAAATGAACTCCTGCAACATAACAAACCTACTTTGCAAAGCGGGATCTTTTGTGGTTGTGTTGCAAGTTTGTTGCAAAATCCTTGTGGTTGTGCTGCAATTAGCCAAAAAAACCTTCATGTTCCTGCTATCAGGCCTTTTTTTGTTCCTTTTTTTTCCAGTTTGTTCCCTATACAGTTCACAAGAATTGCCTGTACTTTTTTCCCCACAGTATGTTACATTTGTCTAACAAACATCAGAATGAAACATTTTTGAAAATGCAATGAGGTCATCTACTGTTAAACTTTATTAAGTATTTTAACTAATGTGTTCCTTTAATTCTTTTTTTTTGCTTCAGCCTCTATACTCATTTTAGAACTAATCTTCTGGGGTTTCATGCATACATAAAAAAAAAAAACCTCAGAGGATTTCATTATTACATGTTCTTTCTAGAGTATAAACCATTACAATGTTCATTATTACCCTATGAAAGTATGTGAAAATATAGTGGAACTCAAAGCCGTTAATTTCCCATGAGAATAGGGACATTCAGTGCCTGTATAGATATGTGTGCAAAGTTAGAATATTGCTTTTTTCACTTATGTGCAAATTTATATCAATTGCCAAAACGTTCACTGATTCCTCATAATATTGTCAGATCATTTCCATAAAAATTTTTACACAAAACTAGCAATAAAAATGAAAAACAAGAGGTAAACAGCTCAATATATTATTGCTGTATTTTTAAATTTTGTTAATTATATAATGACACAAGAATTTGCTTCGTACACTGCAATATCAAACTAAATTCTGCTACAGAATTTCTACATTATTTCAGTAAGGGCATCATCAAAATATGTGAAATACTGAATTCATGATGATGTTTGTGATTAAAAATTTACAAATATTTCTTTTGAATCCGATATCAGTGCTATTACAAGCTTGAGCTTTAGGTGCTTACATTTAGGATTTACACTTTCACCTCAGATGAGTACAGTAACTGACTGGACAGTATAACATGTAAGCTGTATAGTATAGAGAGAGAGCTATAGTATATGTTAACCACATTCATGTTAAAAGCCACATGCTCCTTTTTTCTGAAGACCCTGTGAGTGGTTTGTGAAATGGTCTCCTGGCTTTGCCGGTCATATAGTGAAATGGGTGTTTTTAGGTTTTCGGAGAATGGTTACCTGGGAACAGACTAGTCAGTGGAAGCTCTTTAGTCTGATGTAATACCCGATTTAATATTTATGTATTACTGCCAGAATTGTTTCAGTGTACTACAGACACTTTGGGGATAGGGCTGTTGGTGTTACTGAACTCGTACGAGCTACGAAGCATTGGTAGTCCCATTCTTTTTCATTTATTGGCTGATGTAGACTACACACTGAAGGGTATGATTTGAAGAGCAACACTCAGGAATACACTAGGCAGTTCATATAAAATGTTTGTTGCAAAGTCTGAAAAAGCTATGACAAAGGTCTACAAGATTTGGCTATATATTTTAAAAATTAAATGGAAGCTTCTTTTTTAGTCAATTTGTAAAGAAAGACAAATTCTAAAAGCTTATGCATATTTCTTTGTAATCCTTCATTAAAATTATTCACCCAACCTTATGTCTCACTTTGTCTAGGAAAATTAAATTCAACGCCATCAACACGGATAGCTAATGCTGACACTTCAATAGACACATTTCAAAATAAACCCACATCTCTTTGACTTCAACTATTAGGAATCAATCCATTTCTTCCCTTTTCTTACCACTTCACCTTAGATCTAGCTCAGCCTTTGGTGAGTTTGTGGGCACAGTTTGCAATACAGTTTTCCAGATTGCCTCCTTTCGTCCTAATTAATCACAGCTTCTGCTTGGGCACTGCACCAAGTCCTGTGCTCTCTTGAAAATGCATTCTTGGAAAATTATGGGTACAGAGACTAGTCCCAAGGCACTCAAGACACAATCCACATTGTCTGATTACAGTGGGGCAATATGTAGTTAAAAACTGTGATTTCATTACCATTCTTCAGATTTATGACATGTATAGATCATATTATTTAACAAGTTGATTTTAAAATGTTTTCCTGGGTTCTGAGAAACGTTTGTACTGGGTTATACTGCGCATCCTTAATCAAAAGTCCAAGGGCTAAATTTCAAAGGCCTGGACTAAATTTTCCTCTTTATGAGGAAAATTACCTTTTGTCTTTTTTTTTTTCTGCAACCATTTTTAGAGGTGTTTTAATTTTTTTTCCCCTTTTATGAAAATATTCTTAGGGTGAGAGAGGAAAAATTGGAAGTTTTTTGTAATTTACTCATTCTTCAAAATGAGCATAATCTCTTCAAGGAGTGACAGAATCAGAATAGTGGAAAAAAATAGTATCATCATATTGACCACCTTTCTGCTAGAACAGGGTTCTTTCCTAAGATAATTTTTCTAGTACTTTTTCCTGCCCAGTATAAATATATGTATTTAAGTTCCAAACTGTCAAACCTTATTAGCATTATACATGTATTTGAGAATAGGTTCTCTGGGGCAGAAAATAATTAATCATTATTTTGATAAAACTACAAGTGTCACTTTTCATTTAGTTTAGTGGTCATCTTATTTGTTGCCAGAGAAAACACCTTTTTTTTTTAATATTATTTTTTCAAGCCTCAGTTGCTTGATTTTATTATCCTTAATACTGTGGTTTAAAAAGAAGTTACTTGTGATGCAGTCTAAATCTACATCCTAGATTTTAACTTCTGTTCTCTATATGGTTTACATTTCAGGCTACACAATAATTCCAAGAATATAAATGCAGAATTCAAGGGACTGAGCCTACCTTGTTTTTTTCCCCTGCAGCTTTAGTAAGCATGTGTATTATATCTATTTTCATGCCTCTCTGTTCCTCCAGGAAATAGACTATAGCTTTTATTCATGAGGCCTGAAAATAACTTGTGATAGGCGTCTGGTTATTTCTCTGTTTAGTGGGACAGAGGTTTCCTCTACCTTCCTTCAGCCCTTCTAACCATTCCAGTAAACTTGTGAATTTTTTCATTACTTTCTGTTAGTCTGTTATGATACCGATTTATGCCTCATTTTCTGGACCCTCAAATTCAGAGTAGAACTGAAATTACAGTTCACTGGTAACTGTGGCATCTGTGCTGGTGTGAAGGCAACTGCATTTATCTGAGTCTGTTACTTACAACGTTGTATTCTTCATTAGATCCTTGTTACTCATCACCATTGGTCATTCTATTCCTGTTCTGTATTTCTATTCCACATGTTCCTTATATTCAGCACCATATTTCCTTTCTTCATCATAGACCCAACTATATTGTTCTGTGTTTTACAGCATGTTGCACCACACCTTAAACTTTGAAAAGCTGTGGCCTTCCCATTTGCAGCTCCCCATAGCTCTGCTCCAGTCTCCTCTTTCTCTTCTAACACTGCAGTCTGCCTCTCACGTGCAGTGATGTAACCATTCCCCAACATCCCAGAGCCCGCTGTGGCAGGACTTTGAACCTCATGGTCCAGCATGCCTCACCCCTCGCACCCGTGCACCTGTAATTCCCGCACCTTGCCATGGAGAGTTTCCCCTGGAAAGAACTTGCCACTGATGTGTGAATCACCCCTGCTTCCCCTACTCTCTTTTTACCTCTTGCTTTGCAGCTTTTAACTTATAAGTTTATGCTAGGGAAAGAAACAGGGCTTAGTAGATAATATTAGTTATTTAACTAGCCAATAACATACGTACACAAAGCTTGACAGCTAATTAGTGTGTGCAGCATCTGGACCTGATCAACGCATGCTCCATGGAGCACTGTTTGCGTAAATGGGCAAGAGCAACCAACAGGGAGATTGAGTGTGCCCTGCTGACGCTATACAGTTACTCTGGAAAAGTCTTTGGATGGATTCCCTCATGCACCGGAGAGGATGCCCTCAAGAGGATGATCTTCTGGGAAAATTCCTGTTGCTTCTCTTTCCATCCAGGCACTACTGCATTTTTCTTTCCGTTTTGGATCTTCCTCTCTCTCCCTCTCTTTCCCCCTCCTTTCTGTCTTTTAAAATTTTTCCTCAGAAGTAACTTTTACTATTAGAGTTGATGGATGCTATGAGCTATGGACACTGAAAATTAATCTTTGTGTGTGTAGGTTTCTCTCAACATTTTTGTGCAACACATTTATCTCACTGAATTTAATGAAACTGAATAAGAAAAAGATAAGTATCACATTTACTGGAATTTTCTTGCTTGTTTCTACCAATAGAAACTTGTAAATTCATATATACAAATATTCACTGCATTTTTTTGAGTTTTGAAAAATCCATAGTATTTTAGCAAATAATTAAATTGGCGATTTTCTTCCTTGCAAAATCTTAATTGTTGGCGAGTTTGTCAGATGACTCAGCTCCTGCAGTATCGATTCAACTCTCACAGATTATTTGAGATGTCTGAAGTTGTGTAGAATATGCCATAGCATGTAACCCAAAATGATATATTTTTTGATCTGTGATTGTTATTTGCCATTCACTGTAGATTTATGCCTACATATTTGAGAATATCAGATCAGTTCAGTTGGAGGCTTTACTTCTCTCCTTGCTGAGCATTGTGGTGCTTGTTCTTGTTAAAGAACTGAATGAGAAATTTCAGAGAAACATTAAAGTTGTTCTTCCCATCGATCTAGTTTTGGTAAGTACAAAATCAAGCACCAGACTTTTTGCTTTACAAAGCTTTCAGTGGTTCAACTAGTCTGCTGAAGTTTACTGTGTTTTCTATAGTTACCCACAGCCACACCTGCCACTTATTAAATATGGATAGCTTTTCATGGCTGTATTGTAAATGTAAGAACAGGAAATAGTTTGGTTAAATAATTAAGAAAGAAGTGACATACATTCCCAATTTGTATAATATTTTTCACGTGTTTACTACTTTTTCCATAATCACATGAACATGAAGCCTAGAATGCTAAAGTGTAAGAAATTTGAAACAGAAAATGAAAAGTAACAGGCACATTGTAACTCAAGGCAAGTCTTGTGCTGGGTAGTTGTGGCTTAGATGTTGCTTGTTATTTATCTGCAACAAAGTTAAATACCTAAGCTATTGCTTTCTGTAATTTTACTTACAGTTTTCCTTTCACATGGCATACGCTAGATTGAAGTTAGCTGTTGCGTCGTAAATCCCTACTTTAAGGATTAAGCTGTAGTCAGATAACCAGCACCAGGACAGAAGATTTCTGTATTTCTCTAGACCTCCAAAAGAAAATAAAAAAAAAAATGAAGGGAAGGTGCTTTTCAGAGTGGATCATCACAATTACTCTTCTTTTGCTGGAAAAAAATTATTTACAAAAGAGGAATTTTTCCTGGGCAAAATGCTGGAAGAGAAAGTAGTGTGGTTCTGGTTCCTGCTCTAAGATCTGTTTCTGTGTTGCCTTTTAAACAATGCTGGATAAAATGTGCCAGCAAACTGAGGATCACGGACTGGAACCTGTGCCTGTTCTATTGGGATTTGTGTGTCCATGTCATAAAAAGTATGGGAAGTGAGTTTGAACCTCCTCAGGGCCAAACTTTCCACTCCCTCAGCAACATTTATACCTGCAGGAAAATAAATATAAGAGGCAGCCACATCTTCTGCTATGTTTTGTGCTGAAGTCGACACTGCCAGTCTGGATTAGATGTGCTCAGAGAACATCAGCTGAATCAGACCACTCAGGAGCACCTAAATTATGAATTATTTTAAGCTGCTCACGTGAATGGCAGTGCTCTGGGGCGCGTGTAGCATAGAGGCAGTTTGGACACTTGTTGGCAAGATTCCTGAGGCTTTACAAAGACTCGTACAGATCCCTTTCATTAACACAGAACGTCCAAACTCCATCATAGTCCTTCTTCAGCCACCTTTTCTAAATTCATTACTGTGTCCAGATCTTAGTTTCTTTTGACTCTCTTCCACATTTGCGAAAGTTTTCGTAATAATATTTCCCTGTCTTACTGGATTGATCTAAGGATAAATGCATGAACACTGTCATGTGCTTAGGTATGGCAATGATAGGGACCATGTGAGAAGCTAAAAGCAATAGAAACATAACATCTTTTTCTGTGTTGAATCAATAGATAATTGCTACATCCGTTGCCTGCTACTATGCTGATATGGAATACGTCTATGGGCTAGAAGTTGTGGGACATATTCCTGAAGGGTAATGTGGTTTTTATTAGCTTGTGGCTTTTAAATATGTTTACTTCTGAGAACAATCTCTGAAGAGGTCAAAGTAGTTTTCTGAAATAAGAAATGGCAAAAATCTGTTACGTTCATTTCTAACCTCCTCAAATACTCTCTCACAATTCAACCCCACGTTAACAAGGTATATATCTGTACAGATAGCATCATAAAAATGCAGACTTTCTTGTACATTTTCATAGCTTTTTCATTACTTTATGGAATAAAAAGTAGGTACTAAGTACCTGATGATGGCTGATGGATGTATGACAGGAGGACAGAGCACTCTCTACAAGATTATTGCAATCTGCTTTTTGAGGGTTGCCTTGGGTTATTGTAGCAGAAAGGACTTGCAATGAGGTAAGGCTTGTAGATTACTACACTTCATTCTTCTCCACTCACTTATATAGTAATTTTAGAAAATGTGCTTTCTGAGGAAATGTAAAGGATTTAGGTATGCTTAATCTAGAAAAGAGCATTCTGACTACAGACACTGATATTTTTTTCTCCATGACCTTGAAGAGAAGGAAAAAAAAAACCATTCAGTATAATCAGCTGGTAAGAGAAATTAGATTAGATGTCCGAGAATGTTCAGACTCTAATGGTTGGTAAGGAATAGCACAGCTGTTGTGTAATCTTCCTTTTGGAAATTTCAGGGTTTCCCTAAATTTCACAAAGTACAAGTCCAAGACAGCATGAGTGCATGTGTGCAGCTTGCACTGATAGAAATAAAATAAGGGAAGTCACCGAGAAAGAAAATTGTTTTTAGGTATTTAGGGCATGCTATTACATGTTATGTATCCGAGATTAAACAGGGCTAAGTGTGCCCTTTCGATATGTGTTGTGAACAGCTAAACTGAATTGGTGCAGCTTTAATCAGGAGCTTATTTTCTGTCTAACCTCACAGGAGAAGATTCTGTGTGTTGAAAAACACAAGCAGAAGCCTGGATCATTCCTATGTAGTTTTAGGCACTTACCTGAAATATCTAACTAACTGCCTTGTCAGTGGAGAGCATTAGAAACCTTCAGAGTGTGGTTTGGCTCTTAGGTGGTGTGATTTGTGCTCTGGAGAGACTGAAGTCTTTTCGTGGAGTACAGAGACAATCTGGGGTGATTCGATTCTTAACTGAGGCATTTCATTGCAGTCTCATTAGAAGGTCTCCATTAGATGGGATAAATGTCCATACTCTCCATCACCTACAGGAATACTAAATTGTTTAAAAGGTTTAAACTTCACAGGAAAGCCAACTATAAAAAAACAATTAAAATACAGTAGAGTTTCTTTTATTGCGCATTACAAAATTAGGGAATGGTTGCTGATTTTATCTGTCAGTGGGGGAGCTAATTTATAAGGATCCCTTCATAATTTCTCAAATTGAAGTTTACAGATGGAATACTCCATCTGAAACTGTTTCATCTTCCTGTACAAATTCTCTCCTGCAGTTCTTCACAGATGTTATTAATGTAAAATATTGAAAAATGTCACCTTCCAAGTATTAAAAAAAAATCAGCTGTGCATGCAAAGATTGTTGCTCTTGTATTTTCATGAATTGCAGGTATATTGAGGTAATGTTCCAGGCTTTGCAAAAAGGACTGTCTTTATTTTTTATAGGTTACCATCACCGAAAACACCACCCATGAACGTCCTGCCTGAAGTAGTCACTGAAGCTTTTGGAGTAGCACTGGTTGGTTATGTAGCATCACTAGCTCTTGCCAAAGCCTCTGCTAAAAAATTTAAATACACTGTGGATGATAACCAGGTAAAGCTCTTTCTCCTTATTGTCAGTAAGCCTTGAAATTGCTTCACCATTCCGGAAATGTATTATAGATGAATGGCCAGTAGGAAAGGGTGAGTCCCCATATGGCATCCTGAGGTCTTCCAGTGATTACAGTAAAACCCAAATCTAGTCCAAATCAGCTTTGCAGAATGCCCTAGTTGGTTGAGCTGCTCCTTTTGGGGAAACGCATCCTCCAGGATAATCTCAAAGTACTGCATTCGGTGCAGCCAGCAGCCAATTTGGTTGTTAATGCATTTTTCCAGTGTTCTAAGACAAGGCAGCTTCTCCTCTCGCAGTTGAGCTCTTAAAGACCAGCTAAGACGTTAAATCAGCCACTGATTAAAGAAACAAAGCAGTTCTAAAAATAAATTAGGTACTTATAGCCCTAGGACATATCTGATATTATAAAATGAAGCTTATGCAAAGTAGAAGTCTCATTTGAAATAAAAGCTTATTTGTATAGAAGAAGCAGAGTGGGTTCAGACAGTGCTGCCAAATTTGCAGCCACAGCAGCTTCCTGTGCAGAGTTCCACTTTACAGTGGGCAAACTTAAATAAGAGTAGGATGTTTACTTTCTCAACTACCCCACTGCTGGTCATGGTGGGTGGGTAACTCCAAACCAACTGGAAATCTGTGGAGACAATTATTCAAGTACTGTGGTAAGAAACACTCCATTTTAGATAACTGGCAATAGTACTGTGTGATGAAAATGCTGCCTCCACCTCTCTGTTAAGTGGTTTGGGATAAATGACATAAGGTTGAATGAAGAACAGTTGGTTTTGCAGCTGGGGGTCTATTTGAACACCCTATCTAGACAGGTCAGTCTTGCTACATCAGTGCATGTCTTTTACCACTCTTTGTGTCATTGGAAACTATGGTGGGAATGTTCTTGTCTACTCAGGTCTCTAAAAATTTTTTCAGAATGAATATATTGTGCCATGAATTTCTGTTGATGCTTCAGAGTTTTCTAGGGAGCAAAGGGAAAATGCTTTGAGCTTACTACAAGTCAGGCTTCAGGACAATATGCTGTATTGTCGCAAGAGCACTAAATGGAGCACAGCAACCTGTATGTCTTTCTGCACCTTTGGAAAACTTGTAGCTTACACAGCTTAATTACTGAGGTGTTGGAAACTATGTGTATGTCTGCATCAAATAATGGAGAAAAAGAGCAAAACCTCCATGAGAACAGAGGCTACAGTGGCAGCAGGGTGGTGTAGCTCTATTGCATTCAGGGGCCAGGCATAGGGCTCTGCATGGTGGCATGTGGGTGTGCAAGGTGGTGCTGTCCTGTGCTGTGAAGACAAACATGATCATAGAATCATAGAATCATTAAGGTTGGAAAAGACCTCTAAGATCACCGAGTCCAACCATCAACCCAACACCACCATGCCCACTAAACCATGACCCTAAGCGCCTCATCTACACGTCTTTTAAATACCTCCAGGGATGGGGACTCCACCACTTCCCTGGGCAGCCTGGTCCAATGTTTAACCACTCTTTCAGTAAAGACATTTTTCCTCACGTCCAATCTAAAC